AAATTCAAAATATTTCATTTCCATTAGAGAAAAAAAATTCAAGAGGCATGTGGGTGACTAGATGCCCACAAACAAGCAATGAAAACATGTGGCAAGCATCTGGGTCCCATGTAAACTCATCGAAGCTCATAAGTACACATGTTGTTACTTAAAGAGCAACCATGAGCCTTGTTTGCAGCAGTCTTAGAGCTGCATTCTTTCCCTACATTGCCTACTCTATGACAACAGCAGAGAATAAGTGACAGGGGATATTTTTGCTCTGACATAACATATTCTCTCTGAGGCGAGAGAGCCTCGTTTAGGACATCAGCAGTCTGCCGACACACAGAGCTTCCCCTGCCTTGTTTCTAGCCAGGCAAATCTGTGCTTTAATTTCCCTTTGTCATGGGTTTGTATGCATATTAATTACATAAATCCAATGGCCATTATTCTTTCCTCAGACGTATGAGATCTGTGTGGAGTTCTGTGCAGTCCTTTCTCTGACAGTCACATCCTAATGGACAAGTTGAGCTTGGTGTCAGCCTCACAAGTGGGTGTATCAGCGATGGGATCTTAAGCAGAGACAGATGAGCTGGTGGGTTGTGAGGCCAATCCAGGCTCCAGCAACAGAGACAACTGTAGTATGCCCTTTCCTCTGCTGCCTTTGGGATAAGACCATGTAAGCTTGCAGGGGCCTGAAATCATTAGACCAATGAGTTATGACCCCACCCACCCAGAAACCTTGGATGGTGGTGATGGGAGCTTTGAACATGCATTTCCAAGAGATCGTGCTAATGGTGGTGTGCGTCACATTTTTTTGCAGGTCGTTGGACTTCTTTATCAGTGTTTGAGGCCCCAATCTGTTCCTAGAGTTGAGACATGATGCCCCTGTCTTAGAGTTTGGGTTTGAATTACAGAAGGCCTGTTGCATATTGTTCTTATCTTCACTTGCTGGCTGTGGCATTGTAGCCCACTGCATTAGTGACCTTTCTCATTGCTTAGACAAAATTTCCAGCAAAAGGAACTTAAAGGAAGAAGGGGATGCCTTAGCTCAGGGGCTGAGAGGATATGGTCCATCATGGTGGGAAAGGCATGGAGGCAGCATCAACTGTGTCAGCAGGGGCCTGAGACTGGTCTCATGGCATAGACAGTCAGGAAGCATAGAGAATGGAAGGCTAAGAAATCATCTAGCTTATTTGAAACAAAAACAAAAACAAAAAAAACACCCCCCCCAAAACCCTGATGTGTAATGATTACATTTAAAGAAAAATATAGCATGTGTTTGTATCAGAAATAGTGTGAACTATGAGAAGTTGTTTGATGCATAACAAATAAAAAGTGCTTTGGAAATGTGCTTGGTATTTTCACTGATAGCAACAGGGTATTGTAAATATGCTGCAAAATAATGAAATACTTTATTAGCACTGTGTTTCCTGGCAATGGAAAACAATTCCTTTCAAATGCTCATGTTTAATATTATGCTTACTGACCAGTTCACAGCATAAATGAATTTCTAGGAATATATTCATTCCAGGCTCAGCTCTGCCTTAGTGCTACCATCAAATATGATATTATTCATAAAATGTGTGATTCTAAGAGCTGCTATGTGATCTTTGTGATCCCTACAAGAGCTGGGTGTCTTAGGGAAGTTGTATTTCAGGAAATGTAATAAATTTTAAGTCATCCTTTGTCCAACATTATGAAAGTTAATTGAATCCAACCTATGTTCCCATCATAATTACAATTGAATAAGGAACTAGTTCTTGTCTGATAGGCATGGGAAAATGAAAATGCATCTTTTTTGTCTGTTCATGTTCTCAAAGGTTTACAAAATGGGCACAAAGTATCAAAGTCAATATAAGACAATTTGAGAGTGTATAAAAATGACATGTCCACATAGTGCAAACAAATCTCATGTCCAGTTTACGTATATCTCATGCATAGTTTACACACAGATCATGCATGGTTCATTCACAGCTCACACACAGCTGTGTATAGCTCATGTACAATTCATGTGCAACATGCATGTGTATATATAACACTAATAGGTCTTAATAATAAAAAAACCCTGAGTCAGATATTAAGGAGTGAAAACTGAAAGATCAGAGAAGCAGGACAGCTAGCCACTAGAGTTCTTACCTCTATGAAGTCCTTATACTGAATAGAGACTGAATTTCTGTCTTACCTGCCTATATTCCTCTTTCTACCCAGCCATCTCACTTCCTGTCTGTCTATACAGACCTCCAGACCTCTATGTTAACCAGTGGCTGGCTCTGCCCTCTGATCTTCAGGAAAGCTTTATTTGTTAGAGTATAAACAAGGTATCACCATGCATATAGTGCAACTCATGTATACAGCTCACAAGCATGAGGCAAAGTGAAGTCTCTTTACACTTTGTACATTCATCTCTATTTCCTCAGTGTGGCTGTACCTAGTGTTGCTGCTCTGCATAGTTTCTGGGACCAGCTGTGTTATTACTCATGCACCACAGTGCATGGCTTGGTATGCATCTGAATTTCACCAATGAGCACCTCAAGGGCTGGGGTATACTTTGGTCAGAATTCTGCCAGAAGTGGGTTTAAGTTACTTAAAATATATCACTAGGTCCCAGTCAATCAATCATATTTTCATAATGTCTTCTAGGACTCATGCTTTTCATTTTTAAGGAGTGAATAATGGCATCATAGAAGTTGGTTGTTGTAAGATGCAGGCTGCTTGTTCACATTGAGGAGTATGGAGATTACAGATAATATAACTTCATGTATAGGGAGGACCGCAGACAGCCCACTGTCTGTCATTATGTTGAGATGAGGAGTGGGGTAACTAGGTGGCAGAAAGTTCCCTAAAGAGATTGGACACTACCCCAAAGATTATAGAATCTCTGTGCACAAGGAGGCTTGCACTGATTTAAGAAGATGTCATGCTCTTCTTGATGGTCAGTAAGAGACATTACATGTACACTTGTCTGCTGTCCTACTGGACCATTGCAAAACACACAAAAAAGTTAAAAAAAAATAAGCTGCACTATTCTTGTAATAAAGGTTGAATTTCAGACCTTTTGTAGACACTTTCTTATTCCTGACAATCACCTAACATGTTACAGGTCATAGGCGATTGGGCACTATAATTGTTGACTGGATGAATAATGAAGAATCCACTTTGACAAAGACAAAAAAGTCTTTCTAATTCTTATCAAAGTTAAAGTGTAGACAGGATCATTTGATATATAGTAAAATATTTATTTCTTGTTAATTTTAGTAGTCACTTTATTGAACCAAAAATCTAGCCAACAATTTTATATGTCTTATTCCTAACCATATAGTGGAGATTAGGTACCACACTTTCCATCCATAAAGGGTGTTGGTGTTCTATATAAATGGGTGCTCTGGAAAGTTCTAAATTTGAACTTTGAAGGAAAATATGACTATGGAGGTTAGAACATTGTCCCTTGAAGTGTATTCATGACCCCTTGCTGTACAGGTCTGCCTTTTTAAATCATATTTAATAAAGACAGACTCAGTGGGATTTATTTATAAGGGAGCTCAAGACTTATGCTCCACCACAGAAAGTTAGAAACCTTCACAACATGCTTCATTTCTACATTCTCAGTGCCTCCAAAGGCTGAAACAAATTATGGCTATGAACTCTCAAAGAAGATCATCATAAAAAACACATTACCGCATAGCCAGGTCTTCACCGTGGCTTGCAGGGCTCACAGTTGGGTGAGAATGATATCAGTTTCCTCTGTGAGGATGTGTATAGCACCTTCCAGTTCTGTAGACACTAGCCAGTAGAGGTGGAGCTTCCAGGTGAGTACCAACTCAATCTCTCCATGTCCTATGACACGAGGGAGTGGTGTGTTCAGGGCATCTTACCATCAGGCTGTGGAGGGTGACCAACAGTATTGACAATAACCTGCAATGCTTGGGATCCAAGGGAAACTGTGGGCCAATAACTCAAAAAGATGTAATCCATGCCCAATGCTGACATTTTTATTTGGTAGTATATGATGTCCAGCTGGGGTTTTGTCCCACATGTGATGTGGTAAATAAACTTATATTGGGAGAGAAAGATCAGTTTCCTTTAATGATACTGGGTGTATAAGCCACTCCAAGGCAGACCCCATGCTCAGGAATGATTAGCCAATACAAACTGAACTCCACACATGTGTTTATAAGAGAGACAGAACATAAAACTGAGTGGGTGGTGAGTTCTGGGAGGGGAGAGAACATGATCAACATACACTGTGTGAAATTCTCAGTAAATAAATAAAAATATTGCTAAAATAATAAAAATACATTACCTTATGAAAGCAAACCACTTACACATTCTCATTTGTAGGTAACTTACATATGACCTTCTCTGACTAACTAGCTATTAAAATATTACATTTATGTCCATCACAATCAAGCCTGGGAGCTCACATGTTCCCTTCTGATTGCATCCCAGGAAAACTTCATTCCCTGGCTTAGGTTGTGCAGTTTAATTCATTGCAGTCTGCAGAGGTAGCAAAATCCTAAATTTTAAAGCTGTGCAGATCAACAGCTTTCTGTGGGTAATTTAAATTTCACATTCTGCGTAGATAACCAGAATGAATGATGTCTTGTGAGCAGGCTTCCTGACTTGAGGCAGATCCAAGTGCTCCCATCCCGAGGAGGGGCTATTTTGAGCTCCTGCTGTCCATTTCATATTCACACACAGCAACTGGTGGCAACTAAAAATAATGAACTTGGCCACCAGCTAAGAATCCTGTCCTATCGGGGCAAAGGATAGGAAGCTCCAGTAAGATTCTGGATGCCTGTGTAGCATCTCCCTCCTGCCCACTCATCAGCATACTCTTCTGCATTTTGAAAGCTATTGAGAAGCCATTAGCAGGCAGGACTGGGAGGGAGAGCCAGCCGCACTGCAGCGCACACCTCCACACTAGCGGAAGGCTGTGGCCGCACGTGAGCACCAATTAGAACAACCCTTCCCAGGATCATGGCATTGGAGTGTGTCAATCAAGGGCACTAGGAGGTAGCACGTGCAGAGGCAGTGGCTCAGACCCACCCCAGGAGCTGCTCCGAACTCCAGCTGCAGAATGAAAATGAGTCTGATGTTTCTAGCAAGATTGCGAAGGGGAGCCTCTGTTCAGTGATGCATTCTGAGGTGCAGTTACCTGAGCAGGAACCCTGAATTATGCATCTCCCAGGGATAACAGTCATAGCAGAAGAGAATGCTGGGACCCTTGGCAGGATTCATGCCTGAGAAAGGACAATGTCTCACTATCATTTTATCAAGTGCTGTAAGTAGATTCGCTGACTGTGTGTGTGTGTGTGTGTGTGTGTGTGTGTGTGTGTGTGTGTGTGTCTTGAAGTGTTATTTTAAACATATGCCAAAATTAAGGCAGGTGTGTTGGCGTGTGGCATCCAGATGGGTGACACAGGAATAGGTAACTGTGAAGGGTAGTTGACAGACTACCTTTCTGAAATAATTCTCTCTTCATTTAAACGCTATAGTGTGAAAAATCTTTAAAATGCTGCATTTTAAAAAGATATGCAGGATACTGAAAACAGAGAAAGAAAAGAAACGTATAAACAAAATTCACTGAAGGATTTCCACAGTACTAAAGGTGTTTGGGTGATGTTTGTATAACTTAGTTGGGGAGTGCATGACTGAAGTCATTCAGTGATTTACCTGACTCTGAGCTGTATTGCTGCGGTGCTTGGTGCCTTCCTGCTCAGCCTATCTTTGGGTTCTCCTCAGCTGGGAACTTTTGTCCTTGTGCCGTTCACCTTGCAGAGGCTGCACCCAAGCTCTGCGCGGATGCTCGCGTGGCACAGAATAGTCAGCCTGCAGCTCTCCTTATGGCTTTAATATTGGGATTCCAGCAGGGTGCCCTGAGCCAGGCTCTACCTGCACCTAAACCTTTTCCTGATAGTGACAAGGACTAAGAGGACATATTTAGAGCAAACCCGGCTCATTGGATAAAAAATTTTTCTCTGTGGCACTTTTGAAAACTTTTACATGTTCATATCATGACCTTAAAATGACAGATGACATTGCTGGGGGGGGCAGACTTCTAGAGAGATTATGGGTTTGCAGACAAGGGCAGACCAATGTTAATTAAGCACTTTGTTGAAGGAAGGTGGTTTAAATAGATCTTGAATTTTGTTTTAAAGGAGATTGAAACAAATGTTTGAGGAGAAAAATAGTTGTCTTGCTCTTATTTTCTTATTTTTGTTGGATAATAGACAAGAGGTTGATAGCCCTATGATTATTAAAATAGATTGCCTGGATCAGAAGCCTTGCTTCCAGACCCTACCCCACCCCGGGGGGGGGGTGTATTGGTCAGCCTGTAGATTTGGAAATTAACTTTAACTGATAAAAATTGTGACCCAGGAACATATTTGAGAATCATGGAGTAGTCCTTTGTTTAACCCCTTAAGTCCCAAAGTGACTGACCTGGTAACACACATTGTGCTATACCCCTGGCTGGTTTCCAAACAGCGGGTTCATGTTTCACTGCAGTAGCAGGGTGCTGTTGGGTCTCTGGAGAGGGAATTCCCCAAACCCTCGGCATCATGTTGGCATCATGTCTCCGGGGACCCGGGCTCAATTCCAGAAGATGAGCACGCCAGGGGGCGTGGGCTTGGGGGAGGTGGCCAGACAGCACATGAGGCTGCCCTCTCCTGCCTCATTTTAACTCCTCCAAATGTATGACATGGGTAGAGTTTCATACCCTTGAAAGAGGCGGTGGCACAAATCTGATGGGAAGCTTAAGGCAAATCTTTCTGTTGAACACCATAAGAGACAAAAGCAGACTTAACAAATTTAATGAATTAATAGTGTTCATTAATGAAAATGTTTCAAACGCTTGGGGAAAGCATTCCTGATGAATTTACAAAAGTAATTAGGAAGTACTTACTTACGACTCACCTATTTCCTGAGCTATTAGCTACAAAGTAGGACTGCCCTCCAGTGCCAGCCTTAGCAGTGGACTTCAGAAGGTGTTTTTTTACTGTGCCTGAAATATCAAATGGCTGTTTCTTATCATAAATTGTGAGTATATATTTTTTAAGGATCTCTTAAGTGCAGGGCTTTAGTTTCATTTATTTTTATTTTATGCCCATGCAAGTATTGGATCCCCTAGAACAGGAGTTACAGGCAGTTATGAGCTGCCATGTGGGTGCTGAGGATGGAACCCAGGTCCTCTGGAAGAGCAGTCAGCGCTTCTAATCGCTGAGGCATCTCTCCAGTCCAGAATTGTGGGTCTTAGTGGCATCTTGAAAAACAACTAGAATAAGGAAACAGTGAGGAGGCTTCATTGATAAAGGTCACAGTTCACAGTGTAGGAGTTACACCTGCACTTCCAATGTCCCCAGGTCCTGTGGCTTTGTCCATGATTGTGACCTCGTGTTCAGGCAGGTGTGCTGGTTCTCCCTCACCACCTACATCCCCTCTTTCCCCTCCATGCCCTCCTGTGTGTCTTCCTCCGCATTCTGCCCTGCTGTCTCACCTCCAGAGACAAGCGATGGTATCAGAAGTGAGCAGAGTCCAGGGCAGAAGCAAGAACTTCTGCTTACCTTACCTCAGTAGCTCATCTGGGCCTCCTGAGGCAGAGGAAGCCATTGGGCAGTGTTGGGTGAACAACAAAGCATGCTCAAGGACACCCCTCAGTCCCCTGGGGAAGTACTCATTTCATGGTAAGTCATGCCTTCTGAAAGGTGTCACCCCAACTGAAAGGTTGGTGACCTGTTTTTAGAAGCAATTCCTTATTTTTGGCACTGCAAATAGTGGGGCTTCAGATAGCTCAGGTTGAGTGCTTATCACTCTTGCAGAGGAACATCTTTGACTCCCAGCCCCTGCATGGAGAGACTTACAAGTACCTGTAACTCCATCTCAGGGGATCTGCAGGCACCTGCACTTTCTTGCCCATACACGCAACCACATGACTGAAAACAGAGTAAGCCTTAAGAAATGAGACAGTACTGTCAGCGGTGGACGTTTTTTACCTCCAGAGAAAGAAAACTCTCCAGCAGCATGAACAGATATTCAGGGAGGTCAATAGTTTCAAATCTTTTCTCTACGTATGTCCTTCTCTTTGGCACAAGCATGGGTTTCACTTTGCAAACCTGACACAGCTTATAGAGTAATATCTAAAAGTAGAACAAACAACAATTGCTGTGGAGGTAGAGTCAGCAGAAAAGTTCCAAATGACCTCTAGGAGAGATGCTGAATCAAGGGCGCCTCTGTTCAGAGTGGGGTATCAGGTGATTCCATGGTGAGAGCCCACCTAGTTTCTTTAATTGTTGAAACATGGAGTGTGCTGCCCTCAGCCCCCTTTCACTGTGGCTCTGAATCCATGTCAGAGAAGCTCAGCACACAGTAGACTCTACTCCTATGTCCCCTGATTTCTAACTTGACACCTGCCTCTCAGGTCATGAAGAAGCAGAGTTAAAGAAGGTATGTGCAATGATAAAGTTTCGTTTAGTCTACATGCACAGAACTTTTATACAGACTCTCAAAGAAGTCATGGACTGTTTGTGTCCCATGGGCCTAACCATATGGCTCCGTGTACCTCTATGTTGGCATTGCATTATTAAAGCTGGTCATTGTGTCTAGAAGGATCCACACCTACATCTTCACTCGCCATCTGTTGTTCTAATGTGATATGCTACTCTCTGAGTCTCTCTATCTCACTGTATCTCACCTCTCTCTCCCTCCCTTACTCTTATTGTTTGTTGAATGAAAGGTGTCTGTTCTTTCAATGGCCCTTCACACTCAATGTTACTTTAAGGACATACATACAACATTCTCTCTTAACTGTGTATATTTCATTTTCTCATGTTTACTTCATTCTGTCTTCCATTCTTGACTCATTAATTCAAGACATCTCTACTGAGATTTCTATTGTTTTCTAAGCATGGGTTTACAGCTATGGACACACAAACTGGCTAATGCCCCTACTCCCTTGAAAGACCCAGGTCATTCAGGAAAAGAATAAATAGGTAAAACAGTATTGGCTTTTACAAGTAGCAAAACCTGGTGTTATAAAAAAATTTATGGAAATTACCGGTGACCTGAGCCTAGAATTGGGGTACAAAGCTATTTTAAATAGGCCATAAGGAAATTCTCTTAAGAAGTGGTTTTTCTTTTCCTTATGTCACAGCATATAAAACTGTATGAATACTGAATTTTGTTCTCACATTTTAGGGATGTTTTTAAAATCCTCACTTATCACTTAAATTATGCCAAAATCATTTGGTGTCATATTGTTCAATCTCTACATGTTTGAGTATTCCCTATAGGTTTTCTGTTGATGACTTAACCTTATTGCATTGTGACTTGATTGTATTATCAGACATTATTCATTCTTTTAATTTATTTAAGTCTTGCTGTATGGCTTACATGGTTTTAAAGAAAATTTCATGGAGTGCTGAGAACAATGCATGTGCAGCAGCAGTTGATAGAGTGTCCTGTAGGTGTGTGCTCAAAATGAACCCTGAAGTGTCTGTCTTAATTAGGCTTCTTATTGTTGTGAAGAGACACCATTACCACAGCAACTCTCATAAAGAAAACACTCAGTTGGGGTGGCTCACTCACATTTTCAGAGGTTCTGCCATTATCAACATGGCTGGGATCATGGCAGTGTACATGCAGACATGGTGCTTGCTACATCTTGGCTTGCAGGTAACAGGAAGTCAACTGACACACTGGATGAGATCCTAAGCATAGGAAACCTAAAGCCAGCCCCCACAGTGACACACTTCCTCTAACAAGGCCATACCTACTCCAACAAGGCTACACCTCCTAATAGTGCCACTACCTATGAGATTATAAAGGCCTATTATGATTAAGCTGCCAAGTGTCTCCATTAGATTTTTACCTGGATGATACATGTTCTGGTGGGCTGTTGAAGATACCCATAACTGTTGTATTTGACCTGTCTGTCCATTACTTCTAGTAGTGTTGGTCTTATGAAACTCTTCATCAAAGTTAATGGCACAGGAGTCTGATATTGTTGTAGCTTCATGACCTATTGTTCACTTAGTTAATATGAGAGAATCATCTTTATCCCTTCTGACTAGTTTTAGTGTGATGTGTGTTTTGGCCTATGTGAATGTAACTATTCCTGCTTACTCTCAGACTCCATTTAGTTAGAATGTCATCTCCCACTGTTTCACTTTCAGGCCCTGTGTCTGTATCAGAATGGTGAGTTTCTATTCAACCAATTTACTTCCTTTAATTGGGGAAGTACATTGGAGGTTTTGGAATGGTTTAAATGAGATCTGTTTACACATG